TTCCAGGTGGACCATCCACCTGAGGCTCACATGCCACACTTCTCTGATAGATATAATCTAAATCAATCAGTTACTTCTGCACAGTCTACCTTGTCCAGTTAATCTGAAAATTCTACCTATTAGTCCAATTAATTATTAAATTTTATTTCCCGCTAATCTGTTTCTTCGTTTCCCCTCTTAAGTCCATATAATATCCACTAGCGGTGCTATAATTCGTCCCTTTTTGACCACGCCGGACGACTAATAGGAGAAAGAAATCACTCCTTTCACAGCAATAGACTTTTAACACACCACATTTTGCAAAAAGCATATGACCAGTCTCCATAAGAAATTCTGAGAAGTCCATTCTCGTCGGTGGCACAGTGGTTAGGACTATCGCCGACCATGCACATGGTCTGAGGTTCGATCCCCTGCCGACGCACACCTGATATCTATGATCGGCCTGCAAATTATGGGCTACCGATATCCATGCTGAAAATTCCATACTTGTACCAAAAGTACAATGTGGAATCAAGCTGTAATCAAAAATTAAATTACTAAAAGTATTGTTTTTGAATAAAGTAGATTATTATTATCATTCAGATTTATTGGTTGAGGATAGAAGGCTTGGAGCCTATGCTAATCCTTTACTATTAGTTTTCTGTGGTTGTCCAAACCCTTCTTGAACGAATCATTTGAGGTTGCAGACACCACTTCTTCTGGGAGTCGGTTCCAAGAGTTTATGACTCGATGTGAGAACCCGTACGATTTCTCCTTGGCTTTTGAACTCTCCTGCTATGTCCTCTAAGGTGTTCCGACCTGGTGGGAAGGAAAAGAGAGAATAGGTCAGGTCCGTAGTCATTATTTAAAATTTTAAACATTGTGATTAAATCTCCTCTCTGCCTACGGTATGACAGTGAGAAGAGATTTAAACTATCTAGTCTTTCCTCGTATGATAAGTTAGCTATGCCGTGAACCATACGTGTTGCCTTCCTTTGAACACTTTCTAGAATGTGTGAATCCCCTTTTAGACACGGACTGGCGGCCTGGATGCAGTTTTCCAGTCTTGACCTAACCAGAGATGTATATAAGGAGGTGAACATATCTCTGGTAATTCTTGTAAAGGCTCTGCGAATCGCCCATAAGGACCTGAAACTACGTGCAGCCACCGCGCGACAGTGTGCTGTAGTTTTTAAGTCGTGGCTAACTATGACACCTAAGTCCAAGTGAGTCTGAACTGATGGAAGTGTTATTCCCTCTAGTTCGTAGGAGCTCGTGCTTGCTTGTCCAATGCGCATGGTTGCACATTTTGCCACGTTGATCGGGAGCATCCATTCAACAGACCACTCCGACAATTTGTTGAGGTCCTCTTGCAACGTGAACGTATCACTGTTGCCCTTCAGCTCTCTCCAAATTTTTAAGTCATCTGCGTATAGGACCATAGGGGAGTCGGTGAGCAGAGGTAACTCATTGATATACAGAATAAAAAGGAGAGGACCGAGAACCGTGCCTTGTGGCACTCCGCTACTTACTGCTGTCCAGGAGGAGAGTTTTGAGTTGATCCTAACCCTCTGCCTCTATGAGGAATTCCCTGAGCCAGTCTAGTAGTCTGCCTTTGATACCAAGACTTTCCAATTTCATGAGTAGTCTTTTGTGAGGTACTTTATCAAAGGCTTTACTGAAGTCTATGAAGACGACGTCAACGGGTCTTCTGTTGCCTTTGATTTGACCCAGCTTTCTCTTGCAGTCAGGAGATTTGACAGGCATGAGAGGTTCCTCCGGAAGCCATGCTGTGCTCCAGATAACAAGCTGCTATTTTCCAGATAAGCCATGATGCTTTTCTTGATAATTCTTTCCAGTGTCTTGATTAAAGTGCTGGTGAGACTGATAGGCCTGTAATTTGAAGGGCTTTGTCTTGATCCTCCTTTGTGTATGGGGGTTACTATGGCGTCTTTCCAATCACGTGGCAACACTCCATTTAGGAGAGATAGCTTGAAGATCGTGGTCAAGGGGCCGGCTATGTGGGCTGATAGCTCCTTGAGAAGCCTTGGATGAAGATTGTCAGGACCCATTGATTTTCCTGCATCTAGTTTCATTAAGAAGTTGAGCACGATGCCTTGGTCGATGTCAACGGAATCTATCCCATGTTCTTCTGATGCAGCCAGAGCTGATCCTATAGGCAGTGATGACTCCTGAGTGAAGACTTGGGAGAAGTAGTTTGCCATTGCTTCTGCTTTTTCTTGATCTTCTTCGATTGTATCTTTGTCAATAATCAGGTTTGGGACACCATTGGGTGTTTTATTCCTGAAATTCAAGTACGAGAAAATTTTCTTAGGTTGTGCCTTTGCATTTTGAGCCAGGTGTGTCTCGAACTTCATCCTTGATTGGCGGATTTCTGCGATAGCTTTATTTCTAGCAGTGTTATATAATTCCCTGGTCTCAGAAGTCTCAAGTGTTGCAAACAGGTTCCAACATTTGCGTTTACGTCTGAGTAACTTACGAATCTCCCGGTTTATCCAAGGGGGGCAAGGTTTCCGACCCTTTGGAACAGACCAAGGGATGAAAAGTACAGTTACTTGGGCGTAAAGTTGCTTAAATTGGTTCCATGTGGCTTATACTTGGGACTCTGGGTTGATGTACCAGTTCACTGAGTTGGCTGCTGAGACGATCGCATTTGTATCAGCTTTCCAAATGTTAGGTCGAGCTGGGGTTTTGGCCCTTGATGCTGTTGCTGTGAACTTGAAAGTGAGCACAGCAAGACCACTTCTTATTCCCAGAGGGAGAAGATGTTTGAAATCCATATCCTCACCGTGGGAGAACACCGGGTCCAGAGTTGAAGAGGAGTACTGTGAGTCCTAGCGAGTGGGCTTAATGACATATTGGACTGGGGCTGGCGAAATGCTAGATTCCGGAAGTTTATGATCGAAGGAGTTGTCTCGAGATGGCGTTGTAAGATTCGTCTAGTTAACTGTTGGGGCATTGAAGTAGCCGACTACGAGACTTCGACATTTCATTGTCCGTGAGCCTAGCTTCTCAACGAAGTCATATGCACTGTGGTCAGAACCGCGGTATACAGCAATGAGGTCGATATCTTGGGCTATACATTTAGTTGTGCAGCGAAGTAGTCCACATGATTCACTTTCGTGGGCGAGTGCTTTGATACTACGCATGGTTAAACATTTCTTCTGGTAGATGACTACGCCACTTCCTTTGCGGCTTAGTAGGTACACCCTTTGCATTTCGAAGTGTGGCAAGTTCATTTCGTTATCAGTGATATCGAGTGTGAGCCACGTCTCTGTGATAATAATAACATCCGGGTTTCCGGAGTCTATCATGTCAACCAGCTCAGCCCGTTTATTTAACAGGCTGCCTGCGTTTGTGTAGCAGACTGTTAATTCAGATTGGTGCTTCACCGGCCTGCCCACAGAGGTTTCGGGATCATTAAACTGCGAACTCGGACAACCCAAAAACCCTTAATCTTAAGGTTCTTCTCGCCGTTCCGGCGTCGCTCGCTTAATTCTAGGGCCGCAGCCTGTCTTTTGACACGGTCTGCTATGCTTAAGTCGGTGCGGACATATATCCCTGATCCTTTGAGAATATTAGAGTTTCTTAGAATAGCATCCCTCTCTTCTTTCGAGTTTAGTACGACTTTGAGGAGACGTACAGGCTGACTCACTGTAGGGTCAGGCTTTTGGCCTATTCTACATACGCTATGTATAGTAATGCATGACTTTGTTTGTGGCAGTAGCTTGTCTAAAAGGGGCTTAACCAAGTTAAGGTCATGCTTGAATCTGGCCTTAGATCGGAGACCAGTGACTCTTCCACTTTGTGGAGAATGAGAGATCAGTCAGAGAGATCAGGTTTGCTTGCCGTGACTTTCTTGCTCTGCGGCGTAAGTGTGTTTCTGTCCTTCGTGGGCGGTGTAGCCAATGTGTTATCCTTATCTCGCTTTTTGCAAGAGACTACATTACACCATTCGTTGGCGTCCTCCTCGTTAATCGTAGCGGGATTTATCTGTCTGCTGCTAACCGCTGTAGATGAGTCCTGTTTCGCCAGTCATTGGGCGACTGGAGCTGCAGGTTTTCGACCCTTGGTACGCATCTTCTTCGCGGCAGCCTTTCCATTACTGTCACTCGAGAGCTTATCCAGTATCGTGGGGCCAGCATGGGTGTCTGGGGTGTGGTAGGTGTTCTTCTGTCCTGAAGGGCACTCACTTATTGGCAAGGACGCATCGGGGGGATGTGCTGTTTTGTCAATGACGCTAGTCATGTCATCGTTATTTGAGCAATAGTCGGTATTCTCCTGTGGTGGGGGACGCTTGCAGTACATGAGCTTTAAAGCCCTACTGAGTGGCAATGGCTTCTGTAATACGGTATTTAGTTGTACTACAGCAGTCGTTGCACAACCAGTTTGCCAGAGGTTTGCAGCAGCGTTTGTGTGCTGCAGGAGTAAGGTTCGTGCACATACTGTGAAACCATCTCTTGCAGTTATCTTACTGCATTCCCTCATCCACTGGAAACTGGCACATAACACTTCCACAGCGGTTTCTTTTGATAGGCATGTTATTTAAAACGAACCAAGGAAAAACATTAAATATGATTTCAAATATATAACCTTTACAAATCAGTGATAAAAAGTCAATGAGCGCACAAAAAATAGATATATATGATTATTAAGTTATAAGAACACAACTTCCTACAATTTAATGGACTCAACTCTGAAACGTAAACTAACTTCAATCAGAAGAAGCTGATTTTAAGTTAATCTGTAGTCTTTTGGAGCGTATAACACAACAAAAGCCAACATTAAACAAGAGCGTGTAAAACTCACTCCCTTTCCAAAGTTGATAACAATTCCCTAGGATTAGATGAGTGTCTGGAGAACTACGCGGGTCACATATCTAAAAACCAGAAGGTGAGTCTACAGAAGCTAATCTGACCTATTCTAGCTCAGAAAACCGCTATTGGATATTGAAGTTTTCCATAGTGATAGAAAACCGCTCTCTTTTCGACACTTGCGAGATGTGTGAAATACCAGATAACTGTCCTAGTCAGAATGCTTCAGTGAGAGTTAAGATAATTTGTTTGGGAGACAGTGCTGTAGGAAAGTCAAAGTAAATATTAACTTCAACTAATATTTTATCTTACAGGTTGTTTGAAAGATTTCTGATGGACAACTAGTATCCTTTAATATCTGCATTTGCAGTAATCTACTAAGAAGCAAATTTTAACAAAATTCTTTTTGTTTATCTCGGTGTACAGGTAGTTATCCCATAGTTAACTATGCTCCGCCGGACGAAAATAGTAAAAACGTAGTGATCACTACGTTTTTAAATAAGTGCTAACTGGGATTATTCGAATAATCCCAGTTAGCATTTATTTTTGGGGGCGCATTGCAGAATTTTTGGGGCAAACACTTCGATTAGATCTACTTACGTGGGACAGTGTCCCGAAGTCTGCCCCAAAATGTCTGCATTGCGCCCGGAAAAAATGCTAGCTGGGTAATGCCATTACCCATGCCCGGACTTGACCAATAGTAAGAAAAAATGGAGAATTTCGGTTGTACGACAAAATTCACCTAACTTACCTGATATTTAACGATCAAAAACTTCCTATATACAGGAAGATGTATTCATAAATTATGTACATGGCCGAATCACGTGATTCGACCAATACTAAAAATATGTAACCAATATTTTCCACTATTCTATCAGTACTCTCCCATTTTAAACCTTATTTAAGAAATATTTTGTTATTTCGGCTGTTAATATATATATATATATATATATATATATATATATATATATATATGTTCAACCAGGATTTCGCCACTATATATATATTTCCATTCTTTTCATTTGCCTGAAATCCGTTCATTTTAACCATGATTTAACTATTCACCACCCATTTTCGTCCGATTAAGTAGGCCTACAGTATTGTAGATCTCATAAGGAGAAATGCGACTTCGCATCTGTAGACATTTTCCTTGGTATAGCACTACACTGTAGTTTAGTGCTATACCACGGAAGTATACTTTATAAGAATAATATTTTTGAGTGGATTCAACTTATATATTGACTGACAGGATATTTAAAGATCTCCTTAAATACTAAAGAACATCTTAATTCATTCTAAAATCTTGATTATGTACAGATTCCAGTGATAAGAATAGAAAGCCCTTGTTGTTTATGTTAATCCTTGCGATATATAGCTCTGCACAGGCCTAATTTCACCAATGGAGCTGTTATTACTGAGTCAGTCAAGCAGTTCCAGTCGTTGGCCACTTTGTGAGAGAATCTGAATTCCACACATATTTTATTCAACCTCGGTCTGAACACCTTCTTGTGGTGAATTCATAAATATATCATAGAGGGATAAAGAAGAAAAGATTGGAAAGGTCAATTCCTAAATCACCCTTTGATATACGGTATGACGAAATTAAGTCGCCTTTCCTCCATCGGTATGACAGTAGATTGGGATTTCGGATTTATTGGTCGAGGATAGAAGGCTTGGAGCCCACGTTAATCATTTTCTAGTAAATTTCTATCCTTCTACATACCCTTCTTGAATGAGTCGACTGAGTTTCCAGACACCACTTCTTCTGGGAGTCGGTTCCAAGAGTTTACGACTCGGTGTGAGAACCAGTACTCCATACCAATATAGTTTTTCTTTGGCTTTTGAACTCTCCTGATATATCCTCTAAGGTGATCCGACGTGGTGGGAATGAAAAGACAGAGCAGATATGGTCTGTAGTCATTATTTAAAATTTTAAGTGTTGTAATTAAATCTCCTCTCTGCCTATGGTATAACAGGGAGAAGAGATTAAAACTGTCTAGTCTTTCCTCCTACGATAAATTAGTCATGCCAGGAATCATATGTGTTGCCACCCTTTCAACCCTTTCTGGAATATATGAATCCCTTTCAAGACAAGAACTGGCTGGCTTCCTGGATGCAGTTTTCCAGTCTTGATCTCACCAGAGATGTATATAGGAGGTGAACATACCTCTGGTGATTCTAGTAAAGGCTCTGAGAATTTCCCATATGGATCGAGAACTACGTGCTACAATGTGTTGTAGTTCTTAAGTCTTGACTTACTACGACACCTAAATCCGAATGAGTCTGAACTGACGGAAGTTTTATTCCCTCTCGTTCGTAGGAGCTGATGCTTGTGTGTCCAATGTGCATGGTTGCACATTTCGCTACATTGATCGGGAGCATCCATTCTCTGGACCACTCTAACAATTTGTTGAGGTCATCTTGCGGCGTGAACCCATCACTGTTACCCTTCAGTTCTCTCAAAATGCCTAAGTCGTCTGCGTATAGGACTATAGGGGGATCGACGAGCAGAAATAATACACGGATATTTATTATTATGAGAGGTCCGAGTACCGTGGCTTGTGTCACTCCGTTACGCACTGTTGTATTAAAGGAGAGTGTCGCGTTAATCCTAACCCTCCGCCTCTATGAGGAATTCCCTGAGTCAGTTTGGTGACCTGCCCTTGGTACGAAGGCTTTGTAACTTCATGAGGAGTCTTTTATAATGGAACATTTTCGAATGCTTCGCTGAAGTCTATGAAGACGACGTCAACGGGTCTTCTATTGTCCCTTGATTTGAACTAGCTTTCTCTTGCTGTGAGGAGGTTTAACAGGCATGAGAGGTTTCCTCGAAAGCCTCGTCATGCTCTGAATAACGAATTGTTGTTTTTAAAATACACTGTGATACCTTTCTTGATGATTCTTTCCAGTGTCTTGATTAAATTGCGTATGAGACAGACTTTCAATTTGAAGGGCTTTATCTTGATCCCCCTTTGTGGGTGGTGATTATTACCGTGTCTTTCCAGTCACTCAGTAACACTCCATTTAGGAGAAATAGCTTGAAGATCGTGGTAAATGGGTGGGTTATGTGAGCTGATGTCTTGGTCGACGTCAACAAAATCTATCGTGTAGATGATGTAGCCAGGGTTGATTGTATGGGGAATAACGAATCCCATGGTAAGGCCTGAGAGAAGTAGTCTGCCATTGCTTCTGCTTTTTCTTGATCTTCTTCGATTATGTCATGGTTCATAGTCAGGTTTGGGACATCACTGTATGTTTTATTCCTGAAGTTCATGAGCGAGAGAATTTTCTTAGGTTAAGCCTTTGCATTTCGAGCCAGATATGCTTCGAACTTCATCCCTAATTGGCGGACTTCTGCAATAACTTTCTTCCCATGGTGTTGTGAAATTTTATGGTCTCAGGAGTCTCAAGTGTGGCAAACAGGTTCCAACATTTGTGTTTGCAACTGAGTAATTTACGAATTTCTCGTTTTACCCAGGGGCAGTGTTTCCGATCATTAATTGTTATTATTATATTCTTTAATTCCTAGAGGAACATAGGGCTTCAGCTGCGCACCTCAATTGCCTTCTGTTTTCTGCCAACTTTTTCACCCCGCTCCAAGTCTGCCCACATGCTTCCATCTCCTCCTCGCATGACCTACTCCAAGTCACCCTCACGCTGACGACCAACTCGCCGCCCGCTTTCCCTTCAGGTTCCACTCGAGCAATGGCTTGTTTAGTGATGTCACTCACTTGATGGTTTCCTCAGAATATGACCAGCCAATCCATCTCCATTTCTTCCTGCCTATTTGTTGCACAATCGGTTCCTACTGGGTTGGTTCGCTCATTGCCAGAGATCATTCCCTGTTGCTGATCTTTTCTGGCCGGCCGGCCGGCCATCTGATCTTGAGTATTGAGCGAAGACAACTGTTGATGAAGGTCTCCAGTTTGTTTGAGGTGCTCTTTATGACGCGGTGGCCAAGTCTCTGATCCGTATAGTGAGTAGCACTGACTGACTTCACATTGGAGTTGAAAATCCGGATCTTATTTTTAAAGGTGAGTGCTGTTGACCTCCACACAGACTTGGGAGTAATGAAAGCCTGTCTTGCTTTTCCGATTCTGGCTCTGATATCCTCGTCTCTTCCGTCGGCCTATAGTTGAAACGATGCTTCCCAGTTAGGTGAGGAGGTTGTTTCTTTCAGGTTCCTCCCATTTATGCAGGCTGATTGTCGTCTGTTGTTGTTGTTAATGTTGATGTTGGCTAGGAATCTTCATCACCTCTGTTTTATCTATGTTCACTTGAAGTCCTATCTTTGATGCTTCTTCTGCCAACTTGTTGCTTTTCACTTGCATATCTTCCAGTTTGTGGGAAATCAGACATATATCATCGCGGGCGAAGTCTAGATCCTCCAAGTTTTTCGTGTGAGTCCATTTTATACCTGTTTCCTCATTGCCCGTTGTCTGTCGCATTATCCAATCTACTGCAGTCAGGAAAATTATTGGAAAAAGTAGGCAGCCTTGCCTCACTCCCGTTCTCACTTCGAAGGCTTCCGTAAGTTTCCCATTGTGGATTACTTGGCATACAGCATTGTCGTATAATTGTTGGATGAGATATATAATTGTTCGTGTCACCCCGTAGTAGCGAAGTAGTTGCCAAATGACCTCTCGATCGACGCTGCACCATCGAAGGCCTTTTCAAAGTCGTTGAAGTTGAGGGAGATAGAGAGGTAACTGCCACTCTAAGCTTTGTTCAATGATGATTCGTAGAGTGGCGATTTGACCAATACATGATTTGTTTCTCCTGAATCCAGCTTGTTTCGGTCGAAGTTTTTCATCTAGGGCTTGTTTGATTCTCTGCAGGATGATGCGGCTTAGTATTTTGCTTGGAATGGACAGGAGCATAATTCCGCGCCAGTTTTTACATTGACTTAAGTCTCCTTTCTTTGGCAGTTTGGATAAGTATCCTTTCTTTCAATCCTCAGGTGCTTTGCCTTCTTTCCACACCTCCTCCAGTGGTGGTGTCATCAAGTCCGCTGTTGTCTCTGGGTCCATTTTCAATGCTTCCGCTGCGATTCCATCTGGCCTGGTTGTTATTATGCCTGGCTTCAACCCAGTCTTCTCTAGCTAACATTAATTTTGTCACAATAGAAAAGATTTGTAACTCAGGTGGATGATTTGCAATTAATAGTGTTCTCTGAGCTGGTTGATTTAGTTGCGGAGCTTTCGTCGTCTTTCTGGACGGTCAATGCATATCTAAAGATGGTTACCGGGAGACGCAATTATATCAATAATGAAGAAATTTAAATCATTTCACTTTATCCTAAATACTGCGCTGAAGATGTCGTCCAGAAAGACGACGAAAGCTCCGCAACTAAACCAACCAGCTCAGAGAATACTATTAATCGCAAATTAATTTTGTCAGGCAAGATGTTCCTGGTCGGAATCCATGCTATTCCACCGCCAGTAAGCCATATTTCTCCACATGATTGTTTCTAATACCTTTGCTATAATGCAATTACGGGGCTTTTTGGGAGGCTTTTGAGAGGTATATGAGGCATTCCCTCAAAATTTTTTTTCCCGGTTACTTTTAGACTTATCGTTTCACTTAGGTAGTTTATCGGATGGTGGAATTTTTAATGCATAAACCGTGAAATAATTTTTAATATTTATTCAGTAGTTGGCAGATGAACACGACTCATATGCATCTTCTGCACTAATGATGTACAATTTTATTGTCTACGAACAAAATATGCTTCCACGGATGGAAATAACCATCACACTTTTACCTAGTCATCACTAATCGAACTTCTTACAGAATGTTTACATTCCAAACAGGGGAATAAATAGTATGAAATCTCAGTCCATTGTATTTTATATTATATTCGTTAGGGTTGAATTCATATGAATTCTTACTTGATCGGTACTGTTAAGTCAAACTTTTAACAATTCATCATTCTCAAATATTATGACTAGAATTACTTGGGGCTTCGTAACAAAGTTTCTCAAGCTTCTGACGAGATATGTCTCTTTTTTGTCCGACGATTTCATTTTCAAAAGCAGCTGTACAATCGCATTTATATCATACATAAATTCACTCGAATACAGTTATTATTCTTATTTAATTCCACATAATTACGAAGGTGAGTAAAAGGTGATAATTATTTTCAACTTGATTTGGATAACGAGAAGGATAGAAACAAAAACTACACAGGATAACAATGAATTACAGGTGTTAAGAAAATGAGCATGGAAACAAATTGAATTAATAATTATAATAATGGTTACCCGGCATGTTTTGTCGACAATAACACGACACCAAAACCAAAAAGATAAGAATGCAGTTCAGCGCCGAAGAAAACTCTGTTTATGCATCTGAACATCAGGGTAGATTTGGCAAGTGATAACCTAAAGAAGAGAATATCCAGCTCTTTATATAAGACCTTCCCTGCAGCAACTGTAAAAGTGAAATTCTCTAGCCGCCCAATACTTCTAAACAATGCCAAAGACAAACTCTCACGTATGACCAATCCAATGTGCATGTACAAGTTCATCTGCTCATGAGGAGCCAGGTACATGGGTTATCGTATGTGCATCCATTCAAAACGTGTCACAGAACATCACCCCACATGGCTGCAAAGAGAAGGCACAGGTTCCATCAGAAGTGCCATAATTGAACAACTGACCAACACCTCCTAAATTATCTCAACTGATTCATTCAAAGTCATTTGCAAAGTAAACAAAAATAACCCTACCAAAGGCAGCATGTTTCCGACTTCTTTGCACTACTACAGAAGTCCTGGCCACATGCATCCAAAAGCCGGAGCTGTGTCTTCGAAAGAAACTAGTCCAGCCTTTACCACTACCATGGACCTAGATCAGCATTTTATCTTAGTCTTCGGGGTTTTTCGTTTTGTTCTCTGTATGTGCGCGTGCACCTATTTCCCTCTCTCTTTGTCTCCATTCAATTCATTCCATTTTTGTTTTCACTTATGAAAAAAAACTGTTATTTTAAATTTGTTTCCACACCCCTACTGCTCACATTTCTAATTCGTTTAAAGTAATAACTATTTTACAATTATATTCTAATCCTGTGTAATTTCTATTTCTAAATCTCTCCCCACATAATCCATATCGTGTTGGGAAATAATTGTCACCTTTTATTCACCTTCGTAATTAATTATGTGGAATTCAATAACAATAGTAATTGTATCTATGTAAATTAATATTATTTCTAAATGTGATTGTACAGCTGCTTTTGAAAATGAAGTCCCCGAAAGGATACCTTCGCTGAACTTCTTGTTATCTTCTTTCTAATGTCCTAATGGGTATTTTTCACGATATCCTTTTTGTAACTGATAGATCAAGTTATCTTGTTTAATGTGAAAGACGGGGAATATATATATATTTGCTGTTAGGCTACCACTAATTTTAATGCTGTCTATCCGTATGTAATTGTCTCTGCACAAACATTCATACCTTTGATTAATTCCTCATTGAAAACTAGAACACATGTATCATTTATATAAGCAGAAAACTTGTGCACTATGGTAGAGTGTAATTCTATGATTGGTAAATTCTGTTTTTAATAAAGTCTCACAGTGTTCTACAATAATGTTTACTGATGACCACGTTTCGAGCACAATTTATTACTGCTCATCATCATATCAAAGCACCTACTCACACGACCTCCTAACTTCACTCATATAGTTCCATTATTTTCCACTTGATTTTCGCTTGATTTTATTGGCAGTAGTATTTTCCATATTTCAGGTATGAGTAATGAATCATTCCTATTGTATGTGTTGTGTTGGGTGTAGATTATTCGATGAACAAGGATTCAGTAATCAACCTCTCTCTCTCTCTCTCCACCTACCTAGATTACTTTTTAGAATTTTAACCCTCTCCCACCATGCTACTGTGTGGTCATGTGTGTTAATGCATGCAGTGCAATGTCGTATTGAGTTACTTTTTCCAAGTTATTTATCTTCACGGTGTCAACCATTCTTACTTTAGTTAAATTCTTATGTTCTGATAATCTTGCTACTCCTGTTCTACTAATTTGACCTATGCAGTTGACCCAACTCACAGTCATTGCAAGGTATTTTGTAAATTATATTATTTTGTCTAATTGGGTCAACCGACAGGGTCCTTTAGCCTACCTACAGAGCTTGTCCTACCTGAGTGAGTTTGTAAGTTTAAATGCCACGACTCTAATTCCTGATTTCTTAAGAATCCTACATAGGGTCTCAGCTGTAACCTCCTTATATGGTAGAACTGTAGACGCCTTATATTCTTTCTTATTCATTTTATCATTATTAATTTCACCACTATTTTTATTTTGCTCTTAACCTTTTTTGATCTTCCTAATGAATTTTATAGGATAGTTAGTTATTTGACACCAAGGCTTCTTCTGTCTGTTTTATTTCATCATTTAGGTCTTTTCTTGTGACATTTAGTGCTACTGCTCGGTTTGTTAGACACTTAACTAAGTCTGCCTTCACAGACAGAAAACGGACGGGGGAGACGAATTAAAGTCTAAATATCTACTAGAATGAGTTGGTATTTTGTACACACTAGTGTGCAATTTACCTTCTTCTTTTCGTTTTATTTTACAATCTAACATCATGGCTAATTCTCCTTGTTCATTTTACGCTTCAAATGTGAATTTTATTCCCACCACTAGTGAGTTTATGTGGAGAGATATGTTCTGTTTTTAACACTGTGAAAGTGTCACCCACATAGTAAGTAGTAAGTAAGATAAGTAATTTAGAAAAAAGCTCAGCAATTGCAATGCATGCATTAACACACATGACCACACAGTAGCATGGTGGGAGAGGGTTAATATTCTAAGAAGTAATCTAGGTAGGTGGAGAGCGAGAGCGAGAGAGGTTGATTACTGAATCCTTGTTCATCGAATAATCTACACCCAACACAACACATACAATAGGAATGATTCATTACTCATACCTGAAATATGGAAAATACTACTGCCAATAAAATCAAGCGAAAATCAAGTGGAAAATAATGGAACTATATGAGTGGAGTTAGGAGGTCGTGTGAGTACCTTGATATGATGATGGGCAGTAATAAATTGTGCTCGAAACGTGGTCATCAGTAAACATTATTGTATAACACTGTGAGACTTTATCAAAACAAAACTTACCTATAATGGAAGTAGCACACATGTATATATATATATATATATATATATATATATATATATATATATATATATCACAGTATTACTTACTTATATACTTTTCTTCCTTAAACTTTTAAGTCAGCAACACCAACTATCAACCTATGCTTTAAATCTCTACAGATATTACACAGAAATTGAAGGCAAAAAAATTTTAGTCGGTAGGTGAGGTGTTTTTTTTCTTCTTTTTCATGAAGAGGTGTTGTATTAAACCCCTATTTCAGATTTCTGGGATACTGCTGGACAAGAACGCTTTAAAAGTATGCATACCTCCTACTATCATCAAGCACATGCATGCATCTTTGTATTTGATATCACTCGAAAGATCACCTACAGGAATCTTGATAAATGGCTACAAGATTTACGTGAAAATCGACCAGATATCCCTTGTATATGTGTTGCTAATAAGATAGACGGTATATATTATATAGTATGTGTACATGATTATTATTATTTCAGTTGAAGTAGATATGACAAAGAAGACATTCAAATTTCCAAAGAAAAACAAGATGGCATTTTATTTTGTTTCAGCTTCAGACGGTACAAATGTTGTAAAAGCCTTTCGTGATGCTATACGGGCTGCAGTTGCGTATAAAGAAACTTCAACAGATATTATAGATCAAATTATGAATGAGTTAGAGGTACGAAAAGTCTTCAGTTTGTGTTTATTATTTATTTATTTTTTGCTTTTCTGTTCAAAATTTAGAATTCTAGTGATTTATACTTTAGAGAAATTCTGATTTAGTTGTCTTCTGTTGTTACAATATCATCTAGTTAGATAGAATACAAGGGCCGTAAACAGATCCTTTTATTACGGAAATCACCATGTATATATACATATATATATATTTCATGTACATTATTATTATAGCTTATTCAATCAGACAAACACAGTCTTCTGATTGGTTGTTTCTGGTTGAAGATGAGGCAGTAACTCATCGAAGAAGACATTGCGAAGTGGTCGCGCTATGTCGTGAACTGGCAGAAGTTAGAATTCAAGGACCATTGGATCGGGTCCCAGTGGCTCAATGGTCTACGAGCTCGCCTTGTAACCAGAAGGTCCTGGGTTCGAATCCCGGTGGGTGCGTACTGCTGAGGAGTCCCAAACTAGGACGAAACAGCTGTCCAGTACTCCCAGGTTTTCCAGTGGTTCTCTAACTGATGTCAGCTCATGATTAAATCCTCCATGCAATCAAACAAAATCCCTACAACAAACCAATACTTAAAAATTCATCTGATGCTCACTAGTGACTGGCCCTATTCAGGCAGTTAACCTGGGGTTCTAGTGGGAAGCCGTGACCAGTAGGGTACAGCAGGTTGAAGATGAGGCAGTAACTCATCGAAGAAGACATTGCGAAGTGGTCGCGCTATGTCGTGAACTGGCAGAAGTTAGAATTCAAGGACCATTGGATCGGGTCCCAGTGGCTCAATGGTCTACGAGCTCGCCTTGTAACCAGAAGGTCCTGGGTTCGAATCCCGGTGGGTGCGTACTGCTGAGGAGTCCCAAACTAGGACGAAACAGCTGTCCAGTACTCCCAGGTTTTCCAGTGGTTCTCTAACTGATGTCAGCTCATGATTAAATCCTCCATGCAATCAAACAAAATCCCTACAACAAACCAATACTTAAAAATTCATCTGATGCTCACTAGTGACTGGCCCTATTCAGGCAGTTAACCTGGGGTTCTAGTGGGAAGCCGTGACCAGTAGGGTACAGCAGGTTGAAGATGAGGCAGTAACTCATCGAAGAAGACATTGCGAAGTGGTCGCGCTATGTCGTGAACTGGCAGAAGTTAGAATTCAAGGACCATTGGATCGGGTCCCAGTGGCTCAATGGTCTACGAGCTCGCCTTGTAACCAGAAGGTCCTGGGTTCGAATCCCGGTGGGTGCGTACTGCTGAGGAGTCCCAAACTAGGACGAAACAGCTGTCCAGTACTCCCAGGTTTTCCAGTGGTTCTCTAACTGATGTCAGCTCATGATTAAATCCTCCATGTTTCTGGTTTCTTGGAAAGTTAAGCCGTACATCTGCGAATCTTATTTGCCCACGTTAAGTCTGCTGTGATTAGTGTTGTTGAATCAGCCTTGTTCATATTTTCTCACGGCCAATATTAGCTACATAGACATTGACGATTGGCTAGCAGCCTGCTCTCACCACAATATAACTGACAGGTGTTGTTGTCTGTACAGACATCATCCTCAGGGAAGATAGCGCAATAAAAAAATCATCCAATTGTCGTAAAAACCTTGTCTATTTGGAAAGCTTTAATACCTACCTATCTTAGATTGGTATTCTTACAATATTGTATTGTATTGTAAGCCTAAAGTTCTTCATAATACAATACGTGTTATCTAAATTGCTAAACTAACAATATCAAAATATATTTAAGGCAAAGCTAATAGGCGTTTGCATGTTTACCATACTGTTCAGTTGATTGTCATATTAAGCCCAACATTCACACCAAACTATGAATTAAGATAGTAGGCATCTTGTTGATTATACAACTAACCTAGATATTCCCATTAATGCATTCAGAAGAAAACACAACACAGAGAGAGAGCGAAGAAATCATGCATTCCTTCACTGCAATTAATAGTTCTCCATCATCCACTGACTGGCTGGCTGGCTGACCGGCTCTACACTAATATACATGTAGTCGTTTATTACAAGAAAATTGTTTTTACCAATCAATCAAGTGGTTATTTCAGTCAATCAGTCTTAGGTATAAGGGAGTGGGGTGAAATAAAGTGTGTGGAAGGCCATCAAAACATCAATTAACTAATAGGTGTTACTAACAAGATATCAAAGTTTGTAAAGAAAGGGGTGAAAATTAAATAATTACAGATTTCAAGATAAGTTGATTCTTAGGCGGCGTTAGCAACAAGATTTGTGAAATAGCAATGACGACTAGGAACAAGAAGAATAGGGTGACTCAGAAGAATTACGTAAACTACAAACAAACAAGTCAATAGAATTAGCTGGAATTGTAAAAATTAACAAAGCTAACATATAGTTAGTTACAAAGGGGAGGGCAGGAAATCGTTTTTGCAAACTTCATACATATTATGTAGTTGGCCATGGTAAGGAAGAACGGGATGTACAAATTTCTTTTGAACACACATACACACACACACACACCGATTTGGCTTGTTCAGATGAATTCGGATCGCCTCTGGTGTGTTTAAAAGTCGCAATCGTAGACCATGCAGGAGGTTGGGTGATATATTTTTTTTATTTTTTAAAATTCTGATTACACCTTGATTTCACACAGTATCTTAGAGTTTTGAGTATGGGATATCGGTAATCCAAAGTTTCCAGGCCGACCAACGATACCAGTTGTGTGTCGGCAGGTGATCGAACCCCGGACAATCTGAATGGTTGGCGAGATTCCTAAACACTGTGCCAACGAGGCGATAAATAACTTTAAAAGCTTTGTTCGAGTCGACTTGATGTCCAGTCAGTATCGACGAGATGAGCTAGTATTGAGCTGCGCATAGCTTTATTCGGACATTTTCCAAACCAAGATGGAAGATGTTCAGAAATTCGGCGATGAACTTTCCTGATCATAATCCCTATGTAAATAGCTCCACACGGCCAATTAAACTGGTAAATACACATGAAAGAGGCGAAAAAGGGTAGTCTGTCTTCATTTCTTGAACTATGTGTTGGTCAGCTAGTGAATACACAGCAGAGCTTAGATGCGTTGAAGGTCATTTTAAAGGCCTTCCTCAGACGTTGTGATAAGATCTCACTATTGACATCACCTGTGAATTGTAACCTTAGGAAAATTGAGATTTTGGGAACAGTCGGCAACTTCCAATTTTTTACTTTCTGAGTTCAGTGTTTGTTTATGAATTTAGTTGGATATCCTGTTTCTGCTTATGAGAACGCGTATATTACAAATTTCTTCGTTCATCAGTGTCTCATATGAACAGATAACTCTAGCTAGCCCGGTGAACCAGACATCTAACCAGATTACGTCTTTAGTGTAGAGGTAGTGTTACAAAGCTCAGAAAGTGAGTAAATTGTCCAGTAGAAGTAGGTAGGTTTTCTATAGAAACGACTACATGTTGTTCCGTCCGTTTTTTTAGTCATTAGGACATCCAAAAAGGTTATAGAGTCATTTTCTTCTTCTTTTTCTTCCTTGGTGAAGCTTATGCTAGGATGTACTCTATTGAATTTATCCAATATGTCCTTAATCTCATTTTTTTCTTAACAACTATAAATGTGCATCATCAACATATCAGCAATAGAAATCAAGACTATATATTGAACCTTTAAGAGGATCATTCTCAAGGTTTACCGGAAAAAAATCTGCTAAGATTGAGTCTAGTGCGGATCCCATGGCAATACCATCTGATTGTCTATATATTTCTTTATTGAACAGAAAGCGTACATTCATCGTACACCTTAGAAGAAGTTCCTTTAGAGAAGTGCTATGCGCAGGTCCATACTAGATTACCTCGTCGTATTCTGCTAATATAGATATTTAGACTTGAATTTATTTCATCCAGTCGTTATCTGTCTATGAAGGCAGGCTTAGTTAAGCGTCTAACAAACCGAAAAGTATCATTACTAAGTATACTATATCAAAAAACCTAAATGATGAAGTGAAACCGATGGAAGGACGGCTAGTTGGTGTTAAATGATTAACTATCCTCTAAAATTCATTAGAAAGATCAGAAAAGGTCAAAATAAAAATAATGGGGACGAGGATAATGATAACTAACATAAAATAAGAGAGAATATAAGACATCTATAGTAGTTTTACCATATGCGGAGTGATGAATATCTGAGACCTTCTCTACGTAGGATTTTCAATAAAGCTTGGATTAGTGGATGGCATTTAAACCCAAAAACTCACTCACTCAGATAGAACAAACTCTGTCGGCTGCTAGTTGACCCACTTACACAAAATATAAATTACAAAATACCTTGCAGTTCCTGAGAGTGTGAGGTCAAATATATATAGGTCGAACAGACTAGTAGATCCGGAGTAGTGAGATCGCCTGTCAGAACATAAAAACTTGGCTGATGTTACAATGATTGGTTCAATGAATGAATCTTCTGCTATTAGTCTCTCCCTGCTCCCTGTTCTGTAATACATTTAAGACTGTTATCGTATCCTATTCAGTCGTATAGTTGTGTGTGCGTCTGTGACTGCCTGTAGTGCTGTAGCTCGACTATTTGCTAGACTTCTTATCTTATTAGTCATATAATCTAAATATTTCTAGGTTTTTGTAATCCACACCACTCCACTGGTCTGAGTGACCGCCCTACCTCCTAATATTTTGATCTAAAATCATTGTAGAAGTATTATAAGGGTTAGTATTATTAGCTACACGCAGCTCAATACTAGATCATTTCATCAATACTGACTGGATATCAAATCGATTCGAACAAAGCTTTTAAAGCTTATTTATCAATCGTATATCACCCAACCTCCTGCATGGTCTACTAGTACAACTTTTAACCACAGCAGAGGCAATCCGAATTCATTTCCCGGCCGACAACTGCTACCTTTCCGTGGTGGTCATGCTTGAATACTGCAGTGACTCAGCAAGTTAAACTGGATGAGACTCTTGTTCCTACAGGTCCTTCCATATTAGGAAAGTTGTTTGGATAGAGGTTAGACAAAAAGCAGT